AACATCAGTAATGGAAAGCAAGTTCACGCTTTGAAGCTTGGTCATGGTCGCCAGAGAAGAACCTTAAACAAAAAAATAGACAAAAAATAATGATATGAATACAGGAAACGCTTCAAAACTGGTGCAGGACGCTTAGGTAAAAATATGTCAAATTTTAATACATCCAAGCTCCCACATAAAAAACAGCGCATGGTACTTTGCTACGAGCCATCGCCAAACACAGCATTGGGACTGGGACCAGTTTATCGTTATCCTTTTTAATTGCAAAGCTAGAAATCCAATGATCTTCCAACTATCACCACTACCATGCATTACGAATATAGTGCACGAACATCGCGAAAATTCAGTAATTCAGCTGTCGCGTCTTTACATCCGATATACGATATGTGCAACGGGCTGTACGAAACACGGGCGGCTATGCTGGAGGTTTAGATTATATGCACTGAGCATAAGCAGAGGGGTTATAGAAAGTGTAAGGATACAAAAGAGGAAGCATAATGATAAGAATATTGGGATAGGAAGAAAAATTGCCACGGCATCAGTGTTCCCCTCACAGATACAGATATTTCTGGACGATAAAACACTTAGATAGCGCTGTTCGACTGAGCTGACGCTTGCATTCGTAAGCTGCTAAGTGCATTCGCGAGGAATATTAGGCACACAGATAACATAGTAGTAATAGCAACCATTCCTCGGACAAAAACCAGGAGAATGGAGATATAGATGCGTTGATATTTCGGCAACATGCCTTCATCGGAACGAATAGCAGAAGTACATCATCCACACTTAAGTACGCATCTAACAAGTACATTGTCTGCTATACATGACGCTGTATGTGAAGTTTGCTATAGATCTGGTACTTATGGAGCACGCCTCTGCTATTCGTTTCGATTAAAGGGAATGTTCCACATTTGTACGGCGTTTTAACTGAAATAGCTATCTTGAGGAAATTTTGATGCAGTTCACGGGTATGCCCTTTTTAAGACCCAAAACGCTCTGGTTCCTGAGTTACGCGCCCGCAAAGTACGAAAAGGCTTTTTACAGCCAACTTCAAAATCGCCTCGATTAATGACGCCATAGAAACTTCATTAGATCCCGTGATGTTACAGGCTGTTCTTTGTTTATGGTCAAAACAGCATGGCCACTGCTACATTAGCAAAGGCGATGATGCCGCACATGTGGTACAGGCCGTGGAAGCTGATTGGCTGTTAGGAAGATTTTACTGCTGAATGCGTGTCGCGAACACAAGCGTGAGCAATTTTTGGTCGTGCAACACCCGTCGTGAACGGGTCATTTTTCCTTCTTTTTAGGCCACAGGTCAATGCTATAAAAAAAGAACGCCACTGTCTGCAAAAAAGTACGGCACCAAAAAAATGGGCAGAAGTTATAACAAAGAAGACGCGACAGCAAATCTGTCTTTTTTGCTCCTGCTGGCGTTTTTTCTTCTACTAACGCATCTCTTACAGACAGCTCCGTTGGCGCCTTGTGTACCGGAGCACAGAACCTTGCACTGGTTTATGGGTTAGCAAGGCATTCTGATATTAAGGAAACACTACAGCAATTTTATATATATTCTTCTCAAAGTATTTCACACATATGGTACGAACACTTAAGATTTTGGACAAAATTGCGTTTTACACAAGAAAAATCTCTTAAGCTGCATTACCATGAACCCCATCGGGACTTTGTTTCGAAGGGAGGTCACGGTGAATTTCGGTGTTGCGGGTTGAAGATCTGTGCGGAAATTGTGAGAAAACTGCGATTTGATAGTCCTACGAGCTGTGCAAATGTGGGATCACACTTACTTGACAAAGGAGTGTGAATCCGGGGCTCGAAATGCGCGTGATCACTGGTGGTGTGTGCCAGTGGCTTGTGTTGGTATTGATGTGATGGGGATTGTGCGTGCGAGGTTTGTTCTTCTGAGAGAGAACATTGTTTTGGTATTCTTCAATCTACTGACTCCCAATGAAATGTGAAATATTGATGTCTGATATATCGATGACTATTGATATTGATCCCTGCCTCTACCTTTATGTCTGTCTTTGAAAATGAAGGAATGCCGGCAAACTGAGAGAAACACTAGCACTTATGCTGCAGGGGTGTACAAAGGTAAGTACTGGTACTAGTACGTCATTATGATTTATGCTATTAGTTGGGTATGCTCTTTTTACATGCTTCAGGTGCATTCAAAGCTACCACCTGAAAATTTAACCAGAATTATCTGGCGAGTTTGACTGATTTTGGTGCTGATTCAAGATCTCGGTTGTTTTGCCTCGACTTTTTTGACCTGCTCTAACTCATTGGTTTTTGTAGCTGCGGCTCAGCAATTTCACCGAAATCATCAGGAAGGTGAACCTCATCAGTGTATCACTTTTGGAACGCATCCAAGCAGTCCGATTTTTTACTTTGAACTTTGGTTGCACCATAGTTTTTTTTTGTTTTTCAGGCTGCTACTCGGTAATTTTAACACAATAATAAGAAAATAATGCTCTGTCCGTGCACCAATTTTGGTGCAGATCCAAGTAGTCCGATTTTTCACCTTGAAATGTTAAACATGCCGTAACTTTTTTGTTTTTTAAGCTGCGACGTAGAAAATTTAGGAGAATGACGGGGAAATTAAGTTTAATCATTGTACTAACTTTGAGTGGAATCAGAATGGTCCGCATTTTTTACCCTAAAATCTTTGACCTACTATAACTCTTTTGCCTTTGGACCTGACACCTAGCAAATTCACCAGAAGAATCACGAAGTTAAGACCTACAGGTGTGCCAATTTCCAAGAAGACTGAAGCAGTCCGCGAATTTCGATCTCAAGATGAATCTGGATCTGGTGCCAATTTGACGCGCGTAATCTGTCAGAACTATTCCTCACATTGCTTACATGGGTTACCTAGAAACGCTTGTTCGAAAAAATGTATGCCGACATCACGGTGCTTTGTGTTGCCGCGTCAGATTGGCCGTCACAAAATGATAAGCCCATTGCATGGAAACTATCCGTCCTGAACAGCAACATTTACCCGTAACTGGTGCGTTACGCATAACGTCTGAAGTTACATGTGCATACCCGCTTACAACCACCGCTTTTTCACCTTACGATTCTAAAATGTCGCGCAACACGGCCCAGAGCCAGTTTTTAAACACATTACCACAATGCCGGAATCTGGGATTCTTTGCCATGGCAACCGAGGTTTAATTCTGTGACGACAGGAAATCCTCTAACCAATCAGAGCACGAATATGATGTCCGAATTCGCCGCTTTCCCAAAGCCACCAGCTCTACATTTACGGCGACCGGAGGGCTCTACCTTGTTTCTATAGCCTTGGCCGGGACCGTGCCACTATTCAGGGGCGATGGAGCAGGGGAGTAAAGCCAAAGCTAAACTTCAGTAAAGTTGTTACACCCTTGGCGAGGTCTCTCCCGCCAAAGAGAATCGTGCGCGGTGCCAGTCCACGCATACCAAATTAGCAGTCTGCTTTCGGCCGGCATTTCTGTTGCACCAAGGCACCGCACCATGACCCTCCCGAAAAAGGAACCCCATGGCCTCAATCGCCCTGCCGTGTGGATCTATCTAGACCCCGCCCCAATCAACCCAATGTTTGGTGGATTCGGCGAAATTTTAGTAAACATGCCTGTTCAGACGAATTGCTAACCTGTGCTTTCCGGAGGACAGATCATGTCAGTGACTTCGCTGTCGCCTTACGTGGCGCAGTAAGGCTTCAGTTTACATTAATTAAAGCAGACATGCTGAAAATGTTTCACCGCATAAAACATTTGGCAAGCCACAGCAGCCTCAGCTTACGTTATGTGATGTGAGTGTAACAAACAACCGGGGAAATACGGCGACAAGACCAATGTGTAAGCAAAACACCATTAGCAGTGTGTAGCTGGTAGTAACTGACATCAAGTCCAGGGTGCGACGAGTCAATTCCCGGCGCCGTGGGGTCAGATAAGGTCACTGAACCTTGACGAACCTTCATGATGCTGATCAGCTGCCTGGTCACATGCGATGAATCTCATCAAAAGCGTCATTGTTTTCCCTAGTAGAATGGGAACGTATGATCGAAAACGCCATGTTATGGTTTGGTTAGCGTGGCATTGTGACCCGCAGTGTTGGTGCAGGGTATATACCAGTCACAATTTGTCGTGATCTGCCACTACTCCAGATCATTTTTCCTACCTGGGAAGAGTTTATCATTTGGCCGTAAACCACAAAACTAAACACCACTGCAAAGTGTATACGACATATTAGTTCTGACCCCATCGTTATATTTCTTTGTAGAAACGGCCGGGAAGGGCGTTCGCCCTGCCCCTCCCCCCCGCAGTAAGGCGGGGTTGTCAGGAAGCCGCGATATTGGGCATGGGCTGATGCGTGCCAAAGCTCTGGACGCCATCGAAAGATGTTCACCGAGGGGCTTTGATATAAAATCTAAGCAAAACTAAATGTAATGTTTTAACTCTTCCGAAAGGGTATATAAGTATCGGTACGTACAAGAAAATGCTTTAAATTTATGTCTTTCGGTTCAACGGATTTGTGTCACGTGTGCAGGTCGCAGAGATTGCGGGGATCGATTGCAAATTATGTGACTTGCACGAATGCCTTCACACTGATGTCCGGTACTGGGTTACACACAGCGCTCAGAAATGCAACAAGCTGTAGGTCGCTTATATTCAAATATTTACGCTCAGCCAATTCTTGACGTAGTTAACAAAATGCACGATTGTGAATTTTGACATCAAAACACTCCCTTCCGGTTATGACACAGCGTCTCCGCTCAAAGCCGTCTAGGAAGACGGCTGAGAGGCAGATGGTAATATCTCACTGCGCCATACCTATGCTGTCACTGGCAGTTCTTGGTTTGCCAGCAGGTCCAAGTGGCGAACATGACTCTGGGATGTTGCTGTCAAGCCGCTCCGCATTTCTAAACACCTGTACAAAAAAACGAACTCAGAAGCCTCCGCCGTGTTTTCCTGTACCACCTTTCGATCCTGAGGCCCACAAACTTAGAACAAACTGCCGCAGTCTTGCGGGGTCATCGAGAACTGGGTTGTGTCCGAGCCGGCATCGGCTAGCACCTGCTTGTACGCGTCCACCACGGTCTGGTCCAGCTCGGCCGTCCGGGACAGGATCCAGCCGTACTCCAGGGTGAAGCCGAGCAGGCTGTCACAGGCGTAAACGAGCGCCGACTGCGTGTAGTCGGTGCGGATGACGTTGTAGCTGCCGCGGAAGCCCTCGTCGAAGACGACGCTGAGGGAGGCCGGGTGCGCCGGGTCCTTGACGGTGGCGGTGCCCATGATGGAGTCTATGCTGCCGTCCGGCTTCTTCCCGAGGTTCTGCAGTCGGATGGTGCCGTCCTCTTTCAGGGTGTAGTTGGTCTGGACGCAGGTCTCACCGAGCTCCCCGATCAGGGGGTACCGCGCGATCTCGTACCACTGGCCGGTGTACTGGAACACGCAGAGGAATCGATTGTTTTAGGCAAAATGCATGTGTGTACATAGTGACAATTCTGAAAGATCATAATGATAGACCGCCTGCCAGATGTATAGCAGTTAATAATGTCGGGCTATAACACTGAAAGACGGGGATCGGCGGCCGCAGGGACAGATTTAATACCATGGCCATTTGTACCAATACCATAATATCAATGTCATCTGCAAATACATAGTGCAAAACAACGTTAATACGTCTACCAGGAGGCGTGCTGCTAGCGAATTATGCCCACATCACGCCATTATTTAAAGTCCCCCGCCCTGCGCATGACAACGCTTCTCAATGAAAGCTTGTGCAGGCCTCAAGAAAATGCGAATAAAACACAGTTTCGATGGATCCGTTTTCCGAACTGTTCTACGTGTCATACCTTCGTAGCGTCGAAAACATCGAGAGACTTCACATCTGGACACTTGGCCAGTCCTGTGACCAAAAGAGTGGAGAACAGCAGCGGCAGCTTCATGCTGTAGAATCGGTCTCTCTTACAGGGGTAATGGTGCGCCTACTCATGCAATCGGGACTTTATACCAGTCAGCATTTGCAAGATATCGATAAGGAGGTCCACTTACATAACACGAAGAGATTGGTCCTGGGAAAAATCAAGGCAACGCACGCGGCGCTCGACTTCGCAATACTGAATGCCGTCTGGTATCTGGCATGGTATCAACCTATCTATGAATGCCAGCTGATGCTTTTAATGTTGCACTCGTACTGCACTATTTTCTGTGTTATTACAAAGTTTTCGGGATTACCACAGCTGAAGAAAACAAGCGATTTCATCTCTCTGTGAAAAATAGCTGTTGTCCAGCTGTTTATAATGTTCAGAGATCAACTTATTACGTCGATAGGATCGCAATCCAATTGATTATCCTGCCAACTAATCGAATATTCCCACGGCTGAACCGTTAGGGGCACCGGCGTGGTGGCCAAATAGGATTACTGAATGCGGTCTGCCAGGCCACAACATGATGGCGAGGATACGTAAGCCGTTCAAAGATATATATGGTTAAGCATGGAGGCGGCAGCCGTGTTCGCTTGCTAGCGCTGTGTGGAGGGCTATCAACCGCTAACATAACATCGTGCTCGACTGAAAAAGCCATATTTATTTGTATGACGCTCTGGCTTATTTTCGAATTTACACGGCTGGCTTGAGAGGTGCGACGAAAGTACGGCGGCCGTTTCAGAGCTCTAATATTCCTCTCAACTGGTACCATAACACTGCGGCCACCGGAAACCCATCAGCACCGCTGGCGACCGGATGGCTATGAACTGCCACCACAACACTGTGCTCTGCCGAATGAACCCGCGCGATTGCTCTGATGTCTCCAGAGTGCATTACATAATGCGGGCGACTCGGGATGTTTTTTGTAGCATATGACGGCGTTTTAAAATACACGATGGTACGGGTAAGCAGTGTCATTAGGACTTTCCGACCCACTTATCTGCTGGGCAGCGTGGGTAACCAAACTTTGTACCTCCGGTCTTTTAGGTGCGTAGTTTAACCACTACGCTATCGATGCCCTCATGCCATATTGGATTTCTTTCTCAGGTCGAGCTCCGAGAGCCCCTAGCAGTGGTGCGTAGGGTAAGGTTGTGTGCATTCGATTGTTCCGTTGGAAGGTATTGGCTGGCACAGTAATATAGTGTCATCGGTTGACGACCTTGTCACCGTTTTTTATCGGTATGACTCCCTGACAGTGCATTGCTGAATACTTGCGGTCGGCGAATGTTGGAATGGTTTTCATGACGCAGACTTAATTTTTCTCAAATGCACAATAAATGATAGCTGGAGCTTCTGATGTCGCACTGGTACTTCCTTGTTTATTATGCTTTTACAAAATTGCCGGGAAGCAAGCGATTTCATTCCTATGTTAAAATTAGCTGTCGCCCCATGTTCATGCCGTTCACAAACGAATTCACGCTGTGTGTAGAATCACAATAAAGTTGATTATCCTGCTAACTGTCAAGCATTTCGACCACTAAACGGCTACGGTCATCGTCGTTACCGCCTTGGAGGAAGCCGAGTCAGTGAAACCCGCGTACATCGGAAAGCACGGAAGAAATCTTGCTCAACGGACATTCCTTAAGCCCTTTATCCTCTAATGACTCCTGCAATGCGTTCATGACATGCTCAGCACAGGCCCCAGGTGGTCTTGAGGCATGAGAACCTTAAGACTAGACTCTGAGGCCCTACATGTCACCGCTCGATCCTCCATTCCGGCATCTCAGAAGAAGCTGCCACAGTCCTGCGGTGTCATCGATAACAGGCTCGTGTTGGACCCGGTGTCCGCCAGCACCTGCATGTACTCATCCACCACGCTCTTCTCCAGCTGCGGCGTGCGGGAGAGGACCCACGCATACTCCACGCCCAGCACCGCCAGCACACTGTGGCACGTGTAGATTAGTGCCGACTGCACGTAGTCGGTGCGGACGATCTTGTACTTCCGGATGACGGTCCAGCCGGACCGGACGGTGATGTCGGCCGGGTGGGCCGGGTTGTCGGCGCCGGCGGTGACGGAGGTGCGGTACAAGCTGCCGTTCGCCCACTTGGCCACGTTGCTGCACCGGAGGAATCTGGCGTCGTCGGAGGGGAGGGTGTAGTTGGCCTGGCCACAGGTGTACCCGGAGTCGTCGTGCTGACGGTACCGCGCTATCTCGTACCACTGGCCACTGTACTGGAACGCAGAGATGACGGTGACGTTGAGGAGACGTTATTACATAAGAAGACGTGCTTACTTATGCTACATGCCCGATTTTAGCTCGTGCGGTATGGGGAGCATGCCATAAGTTCGCAGACTGCACACTGCTAACTGATGGATGGAGAGTTGGACTGGCAACCCATGCTGCAAGACAGCGGACGATTTTCTTGCAGGTTGTTTTCACTTGTTTATTTCTTACCTGCACTTATTTTCCAAACTGATTGCAGATTAAGACCGTTTCGTTGACTTAAGCAGTCCTTAGCATTGCTTGGCGGTTCATAATTCAGGAACAGCAATGCCATACTTAACGCGATCAATCATGACAATAAAGTCCAAACGGCACGACTGCACTGGCCACAGTTTCACGAAAGAAGCCGAAGCAGTCATCTCACCTGCGCAAGGTCAAACGCGTCCAAAGACTTCATAGCTGGACAGTTGGCGGCCAGCCCAGTCGCCATGAGCGCGAAAAACAGCAACGGCAGCTCCATCATGCACAGCTACACTGCTGCAGCTACGGTGACAATGGCTAGTCAGGCTTCATGTGAACACAGCTTTCGCAGTTAAGCAGCCGTGAGAAGTCGATAAGACAAGGCGTCTCCGCTCGGTTCGCCGCGCGAAGGGACAACGCTATCAGCATCGGTAACTCCACCGCTACCGACATCGTGTTGGTGCGAGCCCGAAAAATGTGCGTTAGATCTCAGTGAATATATGTGCGCATCCAAATATTCCCTGAAATCCTGCGGATTTGAACCAAAGTACCGCAAAATCGCCAGATACCCAGCACAAATATTATAAATGAATTGGATCACGGCTACGTTGCCCTGGCTATGTCCCTGAGCTGCTATTTGCAGGCTTTGTACCACTCATGGATCACTCGGGCACACTGCCCTTTCAACACTGTTCCACGCTCACGGGACGTCGAAAAGCTATGGTTTGGTTGAGGTTCGTGCTTCTTTTGCTGCGCGAAGAGCTTGCGCTCTTGGCGTCGGTGTAGCACCGCTTTGAAACGCATGACAGTGGTTCACATATAAGTGATGCATCGCGCTTGTTAATTATTTGCTTACTGAGATTAGAGTACCGGCGCCAGTTGGCAGTTCCATAGTCCAGGAACGACACATACATCGTTGCTCAAGCTTTACATGTTTTCTACGGCTGGGCCGATTGAGATAGACCAACAGACAGATAGATTAAGATCAGCTGATTAACCCTGGGCTCCGTCATGGCTACTGGACCCAATGCCATGTTTTTTCACGCCTTATTTCTCTACGCACACAAAAATGTCTGCTTTCTAAATGTCAAAGACCCCACCCTATTGCGCGCGCTGTGACCGACGCTGGTATCAGAGGGCGTATGTTTACGCCGCGAACGCCTCCGAGGTCGCACTCGCCGCATGCACCAATTTCACAGTCATCCGTGCAGCCGTCTGCACTGTGCACCTGGCTACAGAAATGCGGGCAGACAGATGGCAATAGGAGTGGAGGTACGCTTGAAACTTCGTGAATTAGAAGTCCATCTAATGAATCGTGAATTAGCAAGTCAATGATGTTCACTTCAATTCACTTTGTGAATTTGAAGTCAATCGTCAATCGTGAATTAGCGCGACTTCCTGAACTGTTCTTGCATAAACCAAATAGATATGTTCTGTTACCTTTATATCCTGCCTCCTTGCGATAAGAATAAAGACAGTTTTTGTTGGGCTCATTGTGAGAGATGTAGAGCAAAACCAGCTCTACATGGTCGCCAAATATGCTTAGTTAGAGTGTGGAAAGCAATGAGATTTTGGTCATCTGCCTTCGCTCGATCCAGCGACTGGGTGTCGTCAGCATGCATAATGACCCGATAGTTGGACAAAGGGTACGGCAAGTGGTCTGTCAAAGGGCTAAAAAGGATCGGCCCAGCTACCAATCCTTGTGGTACACCACGTGTGGCGGGCAGGGCGGTCACACTGCCAGCTCTGATGACCTCAGCCTGCCCAGTAAGGTAGACATACTCTTGAACCACGAGGGATCGATTCCATACCACATCAGTTTGTTGAGGAGGACGCCGTTGTCGACGCTGTCGAAGGATTTGCTCAGGTCAGCTGCTGTGATCGATGATGTCACCATCGTCTACATTCCGCGATAGCCAGGCGACAACGACGAACAGCGAGTCCTCCGCGGAATGATAGCGGCGGTATGCATACTGCTGGCAAAACAGGATATTGTTATCATTGGGGCGCCCAGATAAATGGTTACAAACTACTTTTTCGCGGCTTTCGACAAGTGGGAAAGCAAGCAAATGGGCCAAAAGTGAGACAGCATACTTGCATCACCAGATTTGAAAATCTGCCCAACAGCAGCCATCTTCCACGACCCTGGGAACACACACGTGACTATGGGCGTCTTAACGGCTCGCAGCACGAGGGATGCAAGAGCATCCAAACATTCCACTACGCTCAGAACGATCTCGCCCATGTACGATAAGTAATGCACCTTTCCGCGTTGATTTGACCTTTTGGGCTCTTCGCAGTGCGTGCGTACTGTCGATAGGGCTCAGATTCGCTCGTGAAAATATCCCTTGCGTCCCAAATATTGCCAACCTTTCTGGCTGCGCCCCCACTGGCAAGCAGAGGCGTGGTGGACAATCTTAGCTTCGACGCCGATAGGCTAGGCTGGCAAGGATGCATCGGGCGAACCGAGCATGCTGGGTCCTGGGATAATAGCATAGCTAGAAGTACTAGTCATCTCGCATGGCTTCGTGTGAAAGGGAATCTGGCTAACGCGCGTTGCATCCTCTAGGGTAGTTTTCCATCTATGGAGGCATGGAGGCGAGCATCATATATTATGGAAACAGCTCACTTGTAGCCATCGGTATGCCGTTAAATACAAAAGACTCAGCTAAATCACAAAAAGACTCAGCGTGTGTTTATATCTGTTCAGATTGTTTAGTCACTTCATTGCGGCTTCGATCGTTTTGATGACAACTGGGTCGCTGTCAGATTGGCTGTGTCTGTATTGCCTACCAGACGACGGCCCCACTTGTGATCATGGAGCTATGCTTCTGATACTTCAAGCGTCGCAAGATGGCGCTGGTGCCTATGCGTGTACATTGATCCTGTTAGCAGTGTGAGCGTATGCTTTGGAGAGGGATCCTGTAATTAGCAATCTCAGTTAAAACCGGATACGAATGCCCAACAGTCCCGGTATAAATGCAGGGAAGGTGGGGAAGCTGCCTTGCTTACACAAGAAAGCTCTGGAACGATATCGTGTAAAGTTTTGTCACTCGTGGGCAACACACAGCAACCTAAGTATTAAAATCCCTCGCAAATATTGACACGTCACACATCCTCAGCATCCAGCGATCGTGCAGGTCAGCTCTCAGCACAGTTTCGATGTCCGCAGACATTATTTCCGGCCTTACTTTTGTCATGCCAAGCCGTTATCCTCACTTTTGATGCGCCAAGACGTTGTCCGAGACTCCTTTTATTGCCAAATTGCATACACCTCAACACAACATAGTGCAACATCCTTAACTTCCCGTCCTACCAGCCTCAAACTAGCAATCAATTCCGTTTGCGAAGTGACTAAGACAATAGATGTAAACGTCATGAAACGAAGGACACAAGTACGTGACATTGTAAGACACAATCTAGGATGAACTAAGTGGTTCGCCATCATTCCGATATAAATGCCCCAGGCCTGTGACGTCATCTGATTCCTGCCACCTGCGCACGGAGTTCGCTAAACAGAAAAGAACAGCTGCGCGGAAGACCGCTGAGTCATCGTTCGGGAAAGCTCAGAAGTAACTACCGCAATCCTGCGGAGTCATCGAGAGCTTTTCTGAGTTGGACCCGGCGTCTGCCAGCAACTTCTTGTACGCTTCCACCACACTCTGCTCCAGCTGAGGGGAGCGCGCTAGGATCCAGGCGTACTCCAGCCGAAAGCCCACCACACTTCCGCACGAGTAGACGAGCGCCGACTGCGTGTAGTCGGTGCGGATGACGTTGTAGCTGCCGCGGAAGCCCTCGTCGAACACCAGTGTCAGCTCGGCCGGGTGTGCCGGATCCTTAGCGGTGGCGGTGCCCATGATGGAGTCCATGCTGCCGTCCGGCTTCTTCCCACGGTTCTCCAGCCGGATGGAGCCGTCTCCTTGCAGGGTATAGTTGGCCTGGGCGCAGGTCTCGCCTAGCTCGCCGATGAGCGGGTACCGCGCGATCTCGTACCACAGGCCGGTGTACTGCAACGGTTAATGACAGGTGGGGTTAGTCGATCGATGGAGCATTGGTTGCGTAGAACGTTGGACATTAGATGCGCATATCACTCAGAGGAAAGCAAGGCATAGATCACGACGTACAACCTCTACCGGAAGGCCAGGTCGGAAACTTCAGCTGAAGAACTGTGCTGAGTTCCTGAACAAAAGGAAGTCATCCGGGACTGCACGCATTCATCCTCGTGGAGGGGAGGGGGCTAGAAGGGGCCCTTACACGCCGGCCACTTATCGTGCGATTTGGGTGTGTGGAAGGCGTAGGATGGGCGATGGACCATATGGCCGTCCTCATTCCGCCCACGAACGCCTAATTTGGTTTTCGTGAATATGATGTGAGGAGAACTCAGCCCTCGCCTGCCATCACTCCGGGACTCTTTTTCAAATGTTATAACAGTATACGTTGTGGAGATTTGTAGCGTTACTTCGACAAGCTGGCCTGCTGCTGACACCGAAGACAGACACGACCTATCACTCGGGTCAGTGCGGTAGTACACCGCAAGTGCTACTGCATGACAGACCTGTGTGGAGTCGAACTCTTCGAGCGCGGGCAGGTTCGGGCACTTCGCCAGTGCAGACGCCACCACGGCCGACAGCAGAATGATCACGCGCTGCATTCTGATCTTCCGAAAGGCTCGACTTTCTGCAGGTTCAGGTACCGCTGGCAAGTGCGTGGCTCGTGCGTGCATTATATAGGCACGCACAAGGGGAGGCCTACTCCTGATAGCGCAGCGTTTACATAAGAAGCAGATAGGAACGTGGGAAGTGGTTCAGTTGGTCATCTGGGCGCATTGTATTGGCACCGGAGCACACTTTCCGGCGATGACCAGCTGCGTCACGATTGCGGGCTGCCCAAAACGCTCCTGATTGCACAGTGATACTGGGAATGGCCAACTCACGTCTTATATAAGTGAAACAGGGCGGTGAATGAATTGCATGTCAGTTGTGGGATAAGACATCTGTCGTAGGACACTGGCGGTGGCAAAGACCAAGTGCGGAAACTCTCTGCGGAAATACGTGGCCGATGGTTGTTTGAGTTTGGAGCGCAAGCTGTTCAGTGCATTAGCGACGGACATTATTCATACAGATAACACGGTAATATTGGCCTTCTTCATCGGAGAAAAACCAAGAAGATGTAGATATATAGTTGTAGTATATATAGTTGGGTTGATATTTCGGCAACATGCCTTTGTCGAAACAATAGCAGAGGATTGTTTTGATAAAGGCATGTTGCCGAAATATCGACCCAAATATATCTCAATTATCCTGTTTTTTTTCCTCCGAGGAATAAGGCTTGTGCCACTGTCTTGTCTATGAGTTTAGAGCGCATCAAATGTTGACCGCTGGGATTTTGTGGCTCGCATTGTTGCTGTTCTTTTGGGGGGGGGAGGGGTTTAGGGCACGCCGACGGATACTGTGCCCCGGACGGACATGGTGCGCCGATAACGAGACATTATTTAGTTTGTGTCGAGGCTATATTGCGGAAATCTGATTGCGCTAAAAATACGAACAGCACCTCTGCCTCAATGACGCAACACGTTAAGGTAAATTCGCGGTGGGGCGCAACGACTAAAATAATGCAGACGTTCGTCGTTCAAGGGCGGACATGTTTGCATGGTATGGTGAACTGTCAGGAGAACATGGAAGCGAGAACACTTTGGCCAGTCTTCGCTACGAAGCAGGTAACCATGCGTTTTATACGTATGGGTGGTGCAGAACCCCTCATTGCAACTCCTTCCCGTCTTGATTCACGGAGCACGAATGCCATGGGACTAATCTCGGTATTACTACCCGGAGCTCGGTGCTCGATACTCGGTCCCAACCGTACATGTTCAAGTTCTGATGTATGCATCAAAACTCATCGTTCCGAAGGTCTCCAGCAGGGAGAGCAAGTATTCTATTGCACGGCACTTGTGCCGCCCGACTAGCATCAGAATCAGCCTGTTCATTCCCTACGACGCATACGCAGCCGGGGAGCCAGCAAAGCACAACCGTTTCCCCTCCCTGCCAGGTGCAGCCAGGCATATAAAGGTATCCTGTATAACCTGAAAGGTCGGAGCAAAACGTTTCCGAGCCAGCAGGTACTTGCAGGTCCGATTAGATGAGACGTGAATGCTCGTTATCATCCTCGATAAAACGCAGTGTCTCCGAGACGGCAAACAACTGGCTGTAAGTACCGACGCACGTTCCAGCAGCGTGGAAGACCGAGTTACAGACCCACTCCCAAACGCACCTCCGGAGCCGCCATCGGTTTGGAGCGATCCGTGCATATCAGAGTACATTTACAATAATATGCCACAGGTTCCAAAGCTAAAGACCAAAATATGTCAGGGAAGACATCCTCTTTCTCCGATTCACAGCGGCTTGTCTAATATTGGTGAAGCTAAATGCTAGGGGGGGGGGGAGGGGGCTAACAAGTCCTATTCTGTCGTCACACTGTGGAGGCGTATACCGTTCGCATCAAATGAGGCCCTGATCCTAGCGTGGACCGGGCGGCTCGCTGGAAAGTTCTCGCTATGGAAAAACGTCGCCAGTCGCCAAAAGAACACTGCATCGCATGCGGAATGCGTGTAGAACTGCCACGGTCTGCAGGTCTGCCGCGTTCTGCAGGTTTGCTGTGGTCTGCAGGTCTGCCGCGGTCTGCAGGTCTGCCGCGGTCTGCAGGTCTGCCGCGGTCTGCAGGTCTGCCGCGGTCTGCAGGTCCGCCGCAGTCTGCAGGTCTGCCACGACCTGCAGGTCTGCCACAGTCTGCAGGCCCGCCGCAGTCTGCGGGTCTGCCGTGGTCTGCAGCGCGTGCTGAACTGAATGCGAATGTGGACCGCGTGAACCCGTGTCTTGCGGTGAGTGGTGACTCGTGAGCCTCCGTGCGCAGCCTCACACCGGGCGACATGCCGCCTCCTGTGGCATGTTGCGTTCTCAGCAGCCATTATTAATGAGTGATGCTTACACATTTGCGGAAAGCGCCATGCCTGCAGCGGCTGGTTCTCACGCGCCTGCGCACTCGCCGCCATTCAATCGCTGACCGACTACCTGTTTATCCCAGGGGCAAGGGACGTCCTCTCATGTGTGTGTGTGGGGGGGGGGGGGGGAGGGGCATGCCCCTTTTTGGGCTGTTCTCCTGCCAAGAGACATAGGAAAGCTGCTAAATAATCAGAAAATTGGGGGCTCAACATTATTTGCCTTCCCTTTCCTCAGTTCCGCGCATATGTTTCACCTATACACTGCATATAGCATCCACTAGTAACAATAGCGTTGCCACCTCGAGCATGACCAGAAACTTACGTATGCGCAGGTACAGGGCAGGGAGCCTGGGAACCATGATACCCCACTTTTGTAAGTGGAGTGCCAGTAATGGTGAGCAATGGTTAGTGCCACCCGCACTTTTGGTGGCTACGAGTTTTATTTGGGACGTCTCATTCCTCGATTTACACACAGCGGATCTCACATCAAAACTATAGGTGTGAATGGGAATTCCTTGGGAATTTAATCTAAACGGTGCACTGTCGAATTCCGTTTCAAATTCAACTGGAATATACCAAGCCACAAATTTTACGAGTTATAGATACATCGTGAAATAAAATGCAAATGTGTTAAATGCATTCCAACATTAAGCTCAACTTAAGATGGCAGCGGGCATATTTGCCAAAATGTAGCGAGCTTTGCGATTAATTGTATTACATTAAATTGTGCGGCTGGATTCAATATTGCACCGTGCCGTATGAAATAACACGCGCGCGGGTGAGTGGTCAGTTTGACACCCGGAAGATTTTCACAAAACAATGCTCCGACGGCGTGGCATGTTCGCGTCAAGCGTTGCATAGCTGTTCGTCATTTGGTAGCGAATCTTGTGTTATGAACAAATTAGATGTCCCTTGAACGGTCACTGACTTATGGCAAGCCATTCAGCCCGTGGCTATCAGCGAAGATAATTTTTATGGAATCCCTCAATCCGATGCGACAACGGAGTGTTAGCTGAAACCAAACATTTCTGACAATTATTTGGCAATAAAACAACTACATTTGGGATGAAAACAAATTCCATTGATTTAGGGTCAAGTCTAAATGTCAGACCGAGGTACAAAGCAAACCCGCTTTTTTGCTGGAGAGGTTGCTTTGAGGAGTAGTTTCTGAAGCTCATTCCGAATTTCTTGAGAATAGGGAGTGCAACAAACACATTCCGTGGACTTCTCAAGGGTCAGAATGTGTGACCGACCTGCAGTAATCTAGATTATCCCATTTTTGGAATTGCATCGCCTAACGCCGTATTTGTTACGCCACGCAATGCAAAGGAGATAATAAAAATGACTTGTTCTTATTAAAAAATCAAAGTAACCTCGTAGGTTTTCGGTCACCGTACGCTTCTAAAGCTCATTGACCTAAGATTGACAACAGTTTCATTTTGCTTAGAACAGATATCTAGGCTCGAAACGGACCAGGTTTGCCCTTATTTTACCCGGAGGTCATAACCTAAGGACCTCAAATTTTGACAGGTTAGCCCACGTAAAGACCATCCCATCCTATGAGTTTGGTTATGAGCTTTCTTATTATTTGGGATCTCAGGTGTGGTCAAATTGACCCCCACCAAGCAAAAGTCATTTAATCGCCGACCCGAGCGTTTTTCAGAATGCATGGTCTCAGAGACGGTTTGCTATCGATAACTTCTTCTTATGAGTGATAAACTGCTTGACATTTACTGCTTCAGAGCAGAAAAAGCTGCATGCCTTATATATGAAAGGATATAACGTTATTTAATGTGTTTTGCTGCCAATGCATGAATAAAGCGGAGTACAAGACACAACGCCGTTTTAAATTGTCTTAACCAGACATTTTTTGTCCCTTGACCTTGACAATTAAACAAACTGATCTAAACCCATCACCTTAACTGATCTAAGCCCATGGTACACGGTGGACGCAGCCCAGGGAGTGATGAACTTGGATGTTAGGAGCCTTTTAAAAAACAAACTCGCGAGACTGTAGAATAAAGAAGTGAAATCGGTGTTGCTTTAATAAAATGAGCGCACGAAATCAAAATATCGCCATTCATCTTTTTACCAAAACCCTCAACCGCACATCGAAATCTGAATCCAGTTTGTGTGAATCCACAGGTGGATCTTTATAGGGGGGGGGGGGGGGAGGGAGGGAGGGACGGGAATGCTTCAGTGCCTACCTTTTTTCAACGGAGAACATATGAGAAAAACAAGTACTTTTTCGCCGAAGTTGGATGAATATCACCTTTTTAAACTTGTCGAAATGGCGACTTAACTGTTTTCATCAGCATCTTCATGAACCGCTCGTTCCATTTTTCTCAGTAATGGTTGATGGTGCACATTGAGCGATGGATGGTAATAAACGATGTAAATTAAGTTTGCGGTTAACATCTGGATCTACTACCCGTGGCTCTGAGCGATGCAGTTTTTCCCATTTTACCGTCGATGATCTTTTTGTTCCTGCTATTTTTCCTCCGGATTTTTTATTATCTCCGGATACCCATGGGTCAACCCAAAGCCTGACACGCCTGGAAATGGCCTTGATATCCGAACATATTCATTTTTGCATCATAAGGCATGCGGTCATTCTTACAACACGTGTGCGCTTAAAACGTAATCCACGCAAAGCATTTGAACATGCCTTGTTCGTGTATTAAATGTCAAGGTGCAATCAAGGAATATCGCTCCTGACTGGGAGGCGCAGGGGTGGGGGTGGGCTTGGGGCGTGTAGGGGGCATGCGCATATGCGCATATGCGCATATCTTGATCGCATCTGCAAATGCACTAGCACACGAAGGGTGACGACGTCTCAGGTGCAGGGAAAGGGAGAGAAAGGGAGAAGGAGAGATAAATGAAGAGAGAGAAAGAGAGAGAGAGAGAGAGAGAGAGAGAGAGAGAGAGAGAGAGAGAGAGAGAGAGAGAGAGAGAGAGAGAGAGAGAGAGAGAGAGAGAGAGAGAGAGAGAGAGAGGGATATATATATATATATATATATATATATATATGCTCCCATCATCTTTATCTATATATATATATATATATATATATATATATATATATATATATATATATATATTACCTGGCCAATAAATATTCGCTTAGGAATGTTCATTCTTCAGTCATATTCCAATCATCGAGAAAGCTATGTAACATGGTTGTAAAAACATGTGCACTCGCAAGTCTAAGAAACAAAATCCCCATGTCCGGCTTTGCAGACTCCGCAACATTATCTAAGATGTTGGCCATCGTCGTTGGCCGCCGCTCAAAGCCTGCGGATGATGGGTGGGCGAAATGATGACGCATTTGAAATAAATACCTTTGAAGGCGTTAGGACATCAATTCATACATTCAAAAACCGCCCCGACGTGTTTTTCAACTTGCATGATTTTTAGGTTACTGAAAGGGACTGAGCAGTATTTACAGCACCGCACACTGATGTTGAATCTGATGGTGGAACTGTGAGAGTAAAGGTAGGGGCTCTAATATTGTTGTTGTTATAACGGGTTGAGTGTTCATAGGAGATCCTCAAAACTATACGGGTGAACTGTTCACCCCAGTCTTATGACTCAACAGTACGAACTGATTTTGACATACTTTCGGAAGCATAACTTCACCGCGGTTTACGAGGGAATCAGCATGCATGTTGACCCAGGTAACGTCCCAAACTTATCTTCCCCCTCCCCACCCCGCCCCCAGGAGTGCGGGAAAATTGTCACTCCGTCGGGTCATTTGCCGTCGCCACGGTCCATGCCAGTTGGCCCCAGAACTACGTGCATGCCGGCAGACTGCAGGGCACGCCTGACGAGACCGTTCAGCGCCGCGTGTCGGGGGTGTCTTCCAGCGCTGAGATGGCTTGTCAGGGCATGGTAACCGCATGCATGGTGGCCAGCTTGGAGTCAAGTTCTTTGAGCCAACAATGTCCATTTCAGGGCTGTGGAATGCAGGAGAATGGATAATGGTGGGACAAAATTATACTTACTTGGCATTATCCAACTAGACTTAGCGCTCACAGGGACCCCTATATGGGATGTGTGCTCGGCGCTCGAACGAGGCCCGCACCAGGAGGCTTAAGCCCACTTGTTTTTGTTGCAAACAGCCTGCCTTGGACAAACGAGGTGTCGCAAGGATGCGGTATGAAGCTAGAATGAGGAAAGAGGGCAGATCCGCAATACGAGCACAAGGGATTTGGAATCATTGTGAAAAGCTATTAAAAGGTACGAGCGGGGCACAAGTCCGACATTTATTATAATGAATCATAACAGAACAGGCAATCGTGCTATAAACATGATGGTTCCAACGATTCTCGCACGTGACTGTGTTAGACAACACGACCTAGAGAAAAAAAAACTCCGCTCTAATGCCGTTCGATCATCCGAGAGATAGTGCTGCCATCTGGCACCCAGTGAGATCTACTCCACGGCCGGTAGGTGGCTCTTCTGCTAGCCGGATGTGGCAAGGCACCGTGCTGGTGACTTTTTTCATTAGCGTGGAGTTTGGATTGTTTGAGCTACGACTGACTCAGGGCTGAAAGACACATGCTACTTCGTTTTGGAAATTGCCTCCAAATCGTTACAGGTAGGTCCACTAAATGTTCAAGTACCTAACGTGAAATCAAGTTCGTATTTTCGCCGCAATTTCGCCTTTCAACTCGCATTTCACAAGCGGAAACAATGACGAAGCCTGGTCGGGTCGTTGGGTTATGCCGCCCCAGTGGAGGATGACACGAATGCTTGTTACTTAATGCGCAGTAATTTACAACTTTCCTTCCTGGTGTAAAACGACTGCGACGAGCGACAAACGACAAAGACAAGTGAAGCGACAAAGTTGCGGAAACAAATGTCTACTTCTTCCAAAACAGCTCACATCGCGACAAACGTCGTACGATTGTGTTAATGCATCTACCAAAACTTATACAGGTTTGACTTCGAATACCCCTGACTGTTCATCTTACTCACACAACGAAAGAGAATGTCCTACATTTGGAGATATTGAAGCGAGCATCAGATGTCATGGAATAAGCTCAGTGAATAAAAAAGACGAAACGAGTGCTCTAAAAAACGCAATTTCTCTGTTTACTGAATGTGCTCCTAAGCACTTCGTGTTTCATTACGTCACCGTTCTTTGCACAACATTGATTGAGAGCCAGTCGACGGCCTTTATATCTGGAAATCGTGCTCACGACCGCCAGAGGTTCGCGCTTGGACAATTATGTTTTTCTTGGCCTTGATCGCCGCATGGCTTATGAAATGGCAGGACTTTAATGACGTTATCATGACGTCATTAATGCCAAATTGATTTGGAAAAACTCTCCCCGAAATACACTTCCCATCCTTGCGGGCATATGGCCCAAAAACTGGAGGGGTTTAGGTCTTGCGGAGAGCATGGCTGTGAACTGCATCGAATTATCTTCAACCCGGCGATTTCAGTTCAAAACCGTAATAAATGTTGAACACTCACTTAAGAGGCTGGTCCAGCACAACAATCTTGGTCGGCATACCCAACATAGCACACAACATAAGGAAAATACTTTATTTTAGACAAACTAGCCCTGAGGTTCCTCTAGAGCATGTTTTTTAAATATGCCCCAAACGTGAGAATATGGAGATATGCCCTTTAAGGGCCCGCCGTTTGCCCCTGACTGGGCTGGCCTGCGGCCGGTATCCGGGTCAGGTCAGGGTAGCTAAGGTCAGGTGACGTCAAAAGACAAGGCGGACTGCGCCGAGCATTTTGACGCATCACACTTTCGTCGAAAGTTTCTGCTGATCGTTTGGGATGTCACTATCGGAAAAGGTATTGTCTGGAATCAAGCAACCGGTGTGCACTGATCCCAGGAACCCACTCAGTCAAAAAATTATTAAATCTGAGGAAACGGTCTAACTCTGCTTTTAGTGCTTATCTCCAAGCGATTGCCCTTCGTCGATGATCGAGGTTTTGGGAACTAAAATGCTGATTGAAAGCATCCGTTACTGGGTCAGTTAGCTTCCTCGGCACCTCGGACAACAGGAACGAAGTCGTGCGGCGCTGAGCTGCCGCACCCACTCAGTAAATAACGGCACTCTCAAATGAGCCTCTCCAGATTTGTCTTGAGTGCCAGGCTCCATCTGTCCTTCCACGCTGGCCAAGTGGCTGGCGCGGAGAAAACTGAACTGCTCCGGCGGTTTGAAGGCCGTGCGCAATGCGCGTGTGCAGACGATCACCCCAATCCTCCGAGCACCCGCCTAAACCGCGGGCAAGTCTCACACCGTGGTCGATGTTTCTTGGCTGGGTCCTCCGAACTGATCGTGTCATGATTCGCTTCGCGCTATGTAAACACGTGGGGCCAGTTAGTCGGGACTTGTATTTCTGCACAACTGATCGGAGGTCGACACAACTGTTATCATACCGGAAACTCACCAGGTGGCAGCACCTGCAACACGACACCACTTTCAAAACACCAGTGAAGGTCGGGCCTCTAGTTCGTCAATGCTATTTTAACGTATCGTCTTCAAGTACCTTGTTGGCGAAAGCGCATTTCATGATTCCATAAATTTGGTATTTTTGTACTCGCTTCCGTCATTTGCGTGCGTTTATTATAAAAGGGTAATGCGAGCTTCCTGGTGCCCATGGCATGATAATATAGCTCAACTATTCGAAACTACAACGAGCAGTTGCTTGTGGCTTCCCGACGGTAACTGTGTCAAGTGCCCAATCACAAAACCTCTACTGAGAAAGCACATGTTAGCGAACTGAGAAAGCCACGCGACATCGGTAACAATGCCAATCCTAACTTCAGGAACATACAGAAAGACAAACAGCCAAATAATTTAATCAAGCTGACGGTCGAACGAAGCAGCACTATCACCTCTTGGCACTGAATGCGTAATGTGTTGATGTCCAGCTGTGCATTGCACTACTCAGACGCAGCTGTACTACATCAAACAAGCGATCATCTCGTAAAACACCGGCAAAATGTTGGTAAAGTATGTAATGAAAACTGGACATTGACACACTAAACATTCACGATCTGTGCTGATCTCCGCCAAATTGAAGGTATGCCTACCATTCACAAACTTTGTCCTTAATGGCTATCTATAAACCAAAAAGAAAAGAAAGCTCTATACTGCATGCATCTATGCTCTCTAAGCACCCAATGTCAGGATGTCTTTTATGTGATTTACGACAGACCTGATCATCCGCACCGGTTGCTGTGAGAGCTGAATTCTTTGTGCCAGCGCTTCCTCGGCTACCACTAAATCATACAGTGTAAACACCTAAGAACCGACTAGTCTACGACGCAGCGGATCACCGTCATCACGAGGGTCCTAAACTCTTCTCTAGACCACTCTACGTCGTTTGATTCGACATCACAGCCTGTCATCACAGCTGTTCTACTTCCGAGTTCCCCCCCGTCTAGGACGAGACTTTTTGAGCTTCACGATGGTGAGCGGTATGCAGCTACGTCCGAGGGACCAGCACATCTCGCAGAGGTCCCTCAAGTGGGGCTTACCTTTGCCCGCAGTGGGTTTCTGTTGTCGGTACACCCGTGAGTAAGGGAATATGTACTGTTCCCAGCCCAAGGCAAAGCACTCGCCACAGAGCTGAGACATTCCGCCCCAACTATTGGCGGAGGTCCACCTGTGCATGCAGTAGGTGCATTGGTACTTTCCGAACATTTTCCAGACGAGTTCTTCATCGTCACCAACTGCGGTTTTGTCTTGCGTTTTCTTGTTACCCTTGGTGGACTTTGCGGCTTCCTTCGACGCCTTGTCCTCGGATGACAGCGCTTTCTTCTTGCCAGCGGTCGCCACCTTGGACGGCTTGGTCTCAGAGGCGGACTGCTGCTTCTTGTGACCTGTCTCCTCTTCCGTGGAGTCGTCTTTGGTCTTTTGTTCTTGTTTGCGCCCTGCGTCAGTTTTCCCAACCGCAGGGCCTGGCGCAGTCCCCACCGCAGGGCCTGGCGCAGTAATCTGGGCGGCGACACTCTGGTTCCGTTGCTTTGGCCTGCACCCTGCGTAAATACCTTGCACGTTATCCTTAACATTGGTTGGTGGACCGATGCTACCAGCGCCAGCACACGCAACTGTGCCTTCGAAATAGACTGGTCGAGCTCTTTGGCGCCACTGACGTCAGGAACAGTTTTGCTGGCGTCAACAGTAGCACTCTTCTGCAACGTGACGGAGATTTCAGAGGCATTCACAAGCTGAACGGTACTACCCTCGTCAACAGCTGCACCACTTCCCGCCACCAGTGAACTTACGACGCCATTCCCAGCAGCACTATCTTCGTCAATAGCAGCACCACTTCCCGCCACGAGTGCACTGGTGACGTCGTTCCCAGCAATATTACCTTCGTTAACAGCAGCATCACTTCCGGCCACGGGTGTACTTGTGACGTCATTCCCAGCAGCACTACCTTCGTCAACAGCAGCACCACTTCCCGCCACGGGTGCACTTATGACGTCATTCCCAGGGACACTACTCTCGTCGACAGCGGCACCGCTTCTCGTCACGGGTGCACTTGTGACGTCATTCCCAGGAACACTACTCTCGTCAGCAGCAGCACCGCTTTCCGCCACGGGGGCACTTGTGACGTCATTCTCAGGAACACTACTCCCGTCAACAGTAGCAACACTTCCCGCCACGGGGGCACTTGTGACGTCATTCCCAGGAACACTACTCTCGTCAACAGCAGCACCGCTTTCCGCCACGGGGCACTTGTGACGTCATTCCCAGGAACACTACTCTCGTCAACAGCGGCACCGCTTTCCGCCACGGGGGCACTTGTGACGTCATTCTCAGGAACACTACTCTCGTCAACAGCAGCACCACCTCCCGCCACGGGTGCACTTGTGACGCCGTTCCCAGCAATAAATCCAGCCTTCCTTTGTTCACTGTTTGTCGCGTCAGCAAGGTTGAGAACGGCAACATCAGTCACACACCCTTCGCTTTGTAGCTCATTGACGGTGTCTCCACCATCAGAAGGTGTCCCTCCACCCGCGGCCTCCTCACAGTCAGCTTTCTGTTGGTTGCCTGCTCCCACAATAGACCGATCGCCTCCGTTTTCCCCGGCACTCGAGGCCATGGTATGCTTGTCACCTACGCGAGCTGGCGCCTGGATGATCTCGCTGTTTGTTGCTTGAGAACCCACCAGGCTTGCGCTTCCCAACTTTGCCATCACCGCCTGGCTATCGTCTGAACCCACCAGTAGTTCAGCGGTCTCGAGCGGCTGTTGTGGTGATGCGCTGACTCCATCGGTCGCTGTCCACAGCTCTTGGCTCTGTTCAGTGCTGGCCCGCTGGTCCCGGTCTGTCAGATGGACCTCAACATTCCCAGAGTGCTGTTGATGGGGCTCAGCTTCACGCTCCGGTTCTGTGGGCTGGACCTCTTCGGTGACTTCAAGCTGCTGGCAATGCCGCCCAGGACCAGTTGGATGCTCCCGTTTGGAGGGTCGACCCTCTTCGCTGGCTGCAGACTGCTGGTTATGCTCTTCTGAACCGGTGTGCCCCCCTAGTTCGGTGTGCTGGACACCTCCGCAGGATTCATGACGCTCATGGACATCTCCGCAGAGTTCAGGCCGCTCATGGTGCTGTGCAGTGCTGATGTATTGCTCCTTTGCTGTGCGCTGGGCCTCTCCGCTGATTTCGGACTCATCGCGCTGCTGCTTAGTGTCATTTTGATGCTCCTGTTCTGTGGGTGGAACCCCTTTACTGACCTCAGGTTGTTCATGATGCTGATCCGTGTCAGCTTGATATTCCTGTTCTGTGGGTTGGACCACTTCGCTGGCTTCAGGCTGCTTGTGACGCTGTCCAGTGCTGACCTGTTGCTCCTGATCTATGCCCTGGGCATCTTCGTAGGTATCAGGCTGCTGGTGGTGCTGTTCAGTGGTAGCCTGCTGTCCCTGCGCTGTGAGCTTATCCTCTTCCTTGAGTTTGAACTTCTGCTGGCAATGCTGAACGTCGCTGTCCTGCTCAGAGCCCCTGCACACAACTTCCGCATTCTGCTCCACCTTTCCGCACTGCTCAGCCCTGCGGTCCGCTTCCGTCAACGGCATCACCTCCGTCGCCCTCACCTGCACGTCAGCCGCCTCCGGCAGCATCTGGCGCTGCCCGCCAGCACCATTTCCCAGCGACATGGCGCCGCACCGGCCCCTCCCGCGCCCTACTGCGCCGCGCCGCCGCCGACTGACTCAGCTCGCGGCTGCAGCCGGCCAGACCCGAGCCGATGCCGCGGTATCAGCTGGCTGCCCGGCTCGGGTACGGCCGCTCGCGGACCGGCCGCGGACACCGCCGGGTGGGACGTGGGGACGGGACGCGCTCGGGCCGCGAGACGACGACACGCCGCTGCTCTCCGCCGGCGAGCGCACCGCACCGTACACGGACGCCGCGGACAGGGCGGGCTTCGCTCGGCGACTGCAGCTCTGGCGCCGAGCCGCACCCTTGTTGTTCTGACCTCGGCCGGGCGCGGCGGGGCTTTCCCGCGGATGCCCGCTGGGCGCACAGTACACCCCGGTTAGCGCGGCCACGTCACTGGTGGAGTCATGAGAGGAGGGGGCGGGCGGGGCTTCCCAGCCACCAGCCCGTTCGCTTCGAGGCGCGCACGCGACCTTTGGCACGTCGGCAAGGCCAGGAGAGCCTGTCATCAGCCCGGTGAGTAATGACTCCCCTTTCGTCTAGCGCTCTCAGCGGAGGGATGGTGGGAAGAGAAGAGTGAGTCATACGTCCGTCGCCCCTGTTTGCCGTACGCCACCGTAGCTGCCCTGCAACAGCCCACTGCTGCAGGTCGCCCACACCGCCGAATGAAAATGGAACGCGGTGCGTGGTACCTGTTCTCTATGAGCTACGGCGCAGCTAGAACGACTCTGCAGGAACATTTGAACGCTATGAACTTGATCAGCCTAGCCCGACCCGGCCGTCATGCGGTCCATTTGCGGTCACTGGAACATGATACACGGAAACATCGGGATGCCATCTTGCAGTTCAGTGACAAGCGCGTAATTTCCTTGCAGTTTTGCCTGACGAATTATGAGCCTTTTGTTTGCGAACTAGGGCCCTTTGTGAATTGCATTCCAAGATCCACCGGACTCAACCCATTAGTGAATGCAAAGTGGATCCAAAGTGAATAAGATCCTCCCACAAACCAGTCTGACGAATTCCAACTAAGATCCGGTAAAATTCATCGTGTCAGAAGATGACATTGAACAGCCCATTTCCATTCGTCACAGTTTGCGGGGCTTTCCATACCATCGTTGAATGAAGAGCACATGAGTACATTTACTAGTCTGTGGTTTGCTCCTCCCCATCATGTTAATCCAGTCTAATCCACGAGGTTCAACCAATTTTCTTTTGCCTTCCAGTCCCCATTCACGTCGATCTTAACTGCGGCCCACGGATTAACTTGCGTTCGGCCAGGGTCTGAGGCAGCCGCGCACCGTCGGGGGAAGTTGACTTCCACCCTGGGATCTCTCACTTCCTGAAGTCGTACAAAAAAAGAACAAAGGCACTGTCGTGAAGGTCTCGTCAAATCATGAAGAATGCACACCAAGGTTTTGGCCTTAGGTCAAATGTGAGGTTGCTACAGGTCACGAATGGAAAAAACGGTCGCTCTGGTAAATGTAGTTAAAACATATGTTAACAAGTCAAGACGGATATTGAGGGCTCAGAAATAAGCGTTCAGACTATGGAAAGTCCATTCTGACCATTTCTGCCCCCCGCAGCGGCCAGGTCAGGTGAGGTCACGGTTGCAAAATGGGTCTACCAGCAGGCTACAAGAGCGATACTTTTTCACAATGTGCCTCTGGCTAAGTTTGTCTTATAACATCCAGCTGTAGGGGAAGTTTTCTCAGACACAAAGATGCCACTTCAGGCTGACCTAGAGGTCAGAGGCCAGTTAGGTCAACTTGGACCCAATTTATAAGCCATTCAATGAAATATTGAAGTGCTAACCGGGTCTAAGTGGCCAATGCGATAATTTTCTGTGGTCAGACATGGTGTGTAGTAAATCTAAGGGTACTCAAGGTCGCATAGCGCCTGTATACATCATGCGCATAGTTCCTTCGATGCTTCACAATGCATGTATAACAAACTGCGGACAGGCACGTTAGTTCATGAACACAAGCGTCACAAACTCCACAAACACGACATAAAGTTGGTGACACGCGTCGCACTCGTCCATCTAGCCTCTCCGCTACTGACAACAGAAGTCATTGCCTTGGATGACCTCATATTACCTTGCATGTCTCCTCGCGACCTATTGTGACCTCGTTATGCATTAGGATGGCAATACATGATTTCATAGAATACTCGAATCCTGCGCCCGACATTAACTAATAAAACTGCCTATTTTGAGCTCAGCATGGGTAATGCGTAAGGCGCCCACAGATGCATGTTATGAGCTAGGCTTCTGGAGTCATGTGCTCTGTGGTCACATGATGATTGTACATATGAGCTGGTACCCTTTTCCTCATGTACAAACATAGCTACACAAAATTTCTCAAATTTACATTATTTGCGAAACAAGTCGAAAAAATGACTCATCTCAGGTCACTCACTTCGCGTGTTGGGAGAAATCCGAAATAAACAGACTATGTACTATTGTGTTTTATTACTATAGCAAGTTTGAGCAATGACAAATAACGTGCAAAAACTTATGCGTGGTCAAAATTTGCGAGAAATCGACCTCTTTGACCTCATCAAAGACACTTGCTTCTAGGTACCTTGCCAGGTCAAAACGTTAAATTCCCACGCAGAATGAAAAACTGACAGACAACAGGTAATGCAAATTTGGTGTCGCTGCGATCTTTTGGTTTTGAGCTATGCACGAAAAACCACAGGGGGAAGCCAACACCCTCCCGGCCGGGCGCAGGTTAATAGCAAGTTCGTGGTTTCTCCGCTTCATGAAAGCTGAA